TAATATAAAACATTTAATATCAAACATCTAATATCAAATATCTAATATCAAACATCTAATATCAAACATCTAATATCAAACATTTAATATAAAACATTTAATATCAAACATTTAATATCAAACATCTAATATCAAATATCTAATATCAAACATCTAATATCAAACATCTAATATAAAACATTTAATATCAAACATTTAATATCAAATATCTAATATCAAACATCTAATACAAAATATCTAGTATCAAACATTTAATATCAAACATCCAATATCAAACATCTAATACCAAAGTATTACTATTGATGACAAATGCACAACTGTAGTATACTTTGTCTTAGCGAGTGGATGCTGTGCTATACTTTCTCCTTAAATTGTTGATGTTGAGATATCTTTTGATGCTGTGGTGTACTTTTTCCTGGCGTGTTGATGCTGTAGTATACTTTGTCTTAGCGAGTTGATGCTGTAGTATATTTTGTCCTAGCAAGTTGATGCTGTGCTATACTTTGTCCTAGCGAGTTGATGCTGTAGTATACTTTGTCCTAGCAAGTTGATGCTGTGCTATACTCTGTCCTGGCGTGTTGATGCTGTAGTATACTTTGTCCTAGCAAGTTGATGCTGTGCTATACTTTGTCCTAGCGAGTTGATGCTGTAGTATACTTTGTCTTAGCGAGTTGATGCTGTAGTATACTTTGTCTTAGCGAGTTAATGCTGTGGTATATTTTGTCCTAGCGTGTTAATGCTGTGGTATATTTTGTCCTTTTGCATTGAAATGCTGTGGTTTGGTTTGTTTGTATTTTACGTCCTATTAACAGGTATGGTCATTTATGGATGTGTAAGGTTTGGTTGTGGAGATAAACTGGAGTACCCAGAGAACAAGGGCACCGCAAAGCGGTACATAATATGCGCGTCACATGTTGAATGACCAGTTGTTTGTATGGTTGAAATATGAAATATTTCTGAGTAAATTACGATAAAGGGGAAATAATTTTTTAAACATGATAGATCAATTAGTGTAATACAACATCATGGAATGCATGTCAAAATCAAGGGGAATAACTATTGATTATAGTGAAATATGCAGGACGCAGAACTCCAATAATTATGAAGATATCAAGCAGACACCGTTTTGGAAATTTGATAAAGGGCCCTAACTCAGTCAGTTACCATCGAATATGGGTGGTTGTCGAACCTGTTCGAGCTGTTATGGTAATAAACTTTCTTATGAAGTTTGAATTAAATCTGTTGAAAATTAATGAAGATATCAAGCGGACACCAAGCGTGCGGGCCATGCTGCCTGCCCACCAACCTGATAACATATTACATCCCGTCTTTCAAGGGGCATATCAAAACTACCAACCTGCATCCAGTACCTCCCTGAGCAACAAGAAATATCAAAACTACCAACCTGCATCCAGTACCTTCCTGAGCAAGAAGAAATGGTCCAAAAAACATTGAAACACTCTTATAATGCCGTTAAGTACCATTTTTTCCACAAATCCATTGAAACACCATTGAATTCACAGCGTTTCAATGGTCATGATCATCATTGGATTGACCATTTTTTAAATTAAAGGACATTCAATGGCACAAGAAATGTTCTACACCTGGCTAAACAATTGAAACATCAATGAAATACTTATGACTTATATTTGGCCAACGATGCCCGATGCTGTGGTATATTTTGTCCTTTTGTGTTGATGCTGTGGTATATTTTGTCCTTTTTCATTGATGCTGTGGTATATATTGTCCTTTTCTGTTGATACTGGGTTATTTTTGGCTCTTTTCATTGATGCTGTGGTATATATTGTCCTTTTCCGTTGATGCTGTGGTATATTTTGTCCTTTTGTGTTGATGCTGTGGTATATTTTGTCCTTTTAAGTTGATGATGTGGTATATTTTGTCCTTTTTCATTGATGCTGTGGTATATTTTGTCCTTTTGTGTTGATGCTGTGGTAAATTTTGTTCATACACACCACAAATCAATCATCATTCAAATCAATGTCATTACTTTGACATTTTTTTAATCCCGGCTAATCAGGGCTTATAGATTGGCTATTCCCGTCTGTCAGTCCGTCCGTCTGTCTGCCCTAGGGTTAAGAAGAATGGTTAAGCTCAGTTTACAAGTTATTTGTTATCCCACATCAACTAAACTTACATGACTCATGTATCTAAGGATGCTAATGACATGCAATGCTTCGGATGCTGCTTCTGATCTACATTTACCGCTTGACCGACCAGGTTAAGAAGATTGGTTAAGGTCAGGCCCCATCATGCAAATATGGTTAAGACGATTGGTTTAGATCACTAAACAAGTAAATACTTGTCTTACATCAACTTAACTTGCATAGCTTATGTATCTAAGGATGCTTATCACATGTGATGCTTTGGATGCTAGTTCTGACCTACATTTCCTGCTTCAGTTACTAGGCTTAAAAGATTGGTTAAGGTCACTTACTAAGCCACTACGTATACTTGTCATGTTGTACAACAACTAAACTTGCATGGCTTGTGTACTTTAAAGGATGCTTATCACATGTGATGCATTACATGAAAATGTACTGTAGCAATCTGGCCATATCCCCATTGGCGGTTTCTTGTTTGTCATATATTGGCAGGTGGTTCATTAATGATTGGAAATGCTTAGCCTGGAAAATATAACACAACATTTTTTACATAATGCTTTGAAAAAAAAGGACCTTATGAAAAAACACAAGGCATGACAAAAAGGTATAACATTAAAATAACGCAAATTTTGCAAAATAATGCTTGACAAAAAAATGCACCAGATTGGAAAACACAAGACAGGAAAAACCAAGGGACAGCAGACAGACATCATATAAATACAGAACACAAAGTTTAATGTTTGGCAAAAAGTGACCATAACAAAAAACCTCCAGGCATGACAATGAGAAAGCAAATAAAAATGTAAAGAAAACAATTGTTCATGATGTCCGGCAAAGGGACCATATGAAAAAAACACTAGGTATTAAAACAAAAAAGCAAAAATAAAAAACACAAAATTTGTTCATAATGTATGGTAAAGGGACCATATGAAAAAATGTAAGGTTTAAGCAGAAGGCATCATAAAAAGGGACCATGAGAGGACATGAGGTGGACATCTATCCAGGATGTAGTTACATAGACAACAGAACTATGCTGGTGGCTCAAACTTCAAGTTGGCAATTTCATCTGGAGGCCACTAGAATGGAAAAATAAATCATACTTTAGAATCAACACAAGTAAATCAAGTAATCAATTGTAGTCCCTCCTAGTGTATACAAGGATTGGCAATCATTGACATAATTTACATAACAATTTCAACAAGGCAGATATAGTTGAACACTAATTATTAGCTTTCTATCAATAATACTGGTTTTTAAATGTATGTCTCTCATCAATGGCAATAAATCTATAGCTATGTTTTGTTACTATTGTGGTGACCGACAATTCTAGCAAAACTATACTAATCATGTATAACATATAACAATGTGTGTTACACTATGGCAGATAACAACAATATCAGGGTGACAGTATTTTATTTTGCTGTCACGTTACTTCCGCTGAATTACAAGTCCAACCCAACAAACTGTTAGTTCTTATCACAAGATGTCTGCCGTTTTGTACTTTTTACCCAACTTGGTGTCTACAAGTTTTGAAACTCAAACTGCCTGTGACAAGAACTGTAGGAGCATTTTTTTTCTCCCAGAACATTTTAAAACAAAAAGGCATAACTCCTTATGGGGAGGCAACATCAACGTATAAACACTTTATTCACATCAACCCAATATTAGTGAATTACCTTGGGAGGAGTGGTGCAGACAATGCTTTCCATAAAAATGCCAATTGAAATAAAATGAAATATTAATTGTAAGTGCACAACTTCAGAATGTGCTGATTATATCAGAGAAGTTTCGTGAAATTCGGCTAAAAGCTGTTGGAGTTGTCTGAATAAAGTGTCAGACAGACAACCTGATTCCATTATCCCCCCCCCCACACACACACACACTGAATTTGTTCCCCTTGTTTATAGACTGGGGGTTGGTAATCATCAAAATGTGGTGTTTTAGTAACTTAGACTGAAGAAACATTTGGTCCAGAGATCTAGAATTCCATGTCAAACAGTCTGCTTTATTAGCTACCAGTCAAGTACACTTGAACCAAGGAAATAAAACGTCAATAATGAGGTTCAAATATAATGTGATTATTAAACTTTTAAAACATTATACCCTGTTTATGGTTAATATAATATGTAATCAACCAAGAATGGTTGGATAATTTAAATAAATGAACCACCTTGACAGCCAAGAGGCCCAAGGGAGGGATTCAAAACTCCAACTGTCAGACAAAAAACCCATGGAGCATCTTAATAAGTTAGTTTATCTTTTAGCTATTTGGTGCGATACAGGTAAGGTCCCTCCTTGTGACTTAACTATTGACAAATAGTGAAGCAATATTTCTTTCAAGTGACTAATCTATGCAGTGTTCTTTGAATGCTGGACATTATATAAACTTACACCAAGTAAATATTACATAAAAAACATAAGCTGCTAAACTCTATAAGACGGTTAAGTACTCCCTGTTTCTCTATAAAAGATTATGATTAGCATGTAGAAATTGAAAATAAAAGGAATACTAACCAGTATCAAACAACTATGTAGATTTACGTATATATGAGGTCCCATTACTGCTGCTTACAGAAACATCAAGCCGGCTAAAATCCCAAGCAACAGTTCCGTTGTATGCAATGTTGGAAATGACTGTCAGATACTCCCCTAGAGCAAACCAAGTGTACACTGAAACAGAAAGGGAACCATAACAACATCTCTATCAGTTAAAACTTTGAACAACGTAAACAAACACTTATTGTTGGGTTCACAATGAATCAAAAAGAGAGAACATATGACTGTTGTATTAATAACACCATGAACACTACTTCCATCCTGATGAACAGTGAACTTAAAACATGATACTAACTGTCAGGTTCACATTACATCATTACACATGAACAGGTTCACATTACATCATTACACATGAAAAGGTTCACATTACATCATTATACACGAACAGGTTCACATTACATCATTATGCATGTCAGGTTCCCATTACATCATTACACGAGAACAGTTTCACATTACATCATTATACATGGCAGGTTCACATTACATCATTACACGAGAACAGGTTCACATTACATCATTACACGAGAACAGGATCACATTACATCATTACACATGAACAGGTTCACATTACATCATTATACATAAACAGGTTCACATTACATCATTACACATGAAAAGGTTCACATTACATCATTACACATGAACAGGTTCACATTACATAATTATACACGAACAGGTTCACATTACATCATTACACATGAACAGGTTCACATTCCATCATTATACATGTCAGGTTACCATTACATCATTACACATGAACAGGTTCATATTACATCATTATACATGAACAGGTTCACATTACATCATTACACACGAACAGGCTCACATTACATCATTATACATAAACGGGTTCACATTACATCATTATAGATGAGCAGGTTCACATAACATCATTATACATGAACAGGTTTACATTACATCATTATACATGATCAGGTTCACATTACATCATTACGCATAAACAGGTTCACATTACAACAATATACATGAACAGGTTCACATCACATCATTATACATAAACAGGCTCACATTACATCATTATACATAAACGGGTTCACATTACATCATTACACACATTACATCATTATACATGTCAGGTTACCATTACATCATTACTCATGAACATGTTCACATTACGTCATTATACATGAACAGGTTCACGTTACTTCATTATACATGAACAGGTTCACATCACATCATTACACACGAACAGGCTCACATTACATCATTATACATGTCAGGTTACCATTACATCATTACTCATGAACAGGTTCATATTACATCATTACACATGAACACCCACATGAACAGGTTCACATTACACCATTATACATGTCAGGTTCACATTACATCACGACACATGAACAACCACATGAACAGGTCCATATTACATCATTACACATGAACAGGATCACATTACATCATTACACATTAACAGGTTCACATAAACAGGTTCACATTATATCATTATACATGAACAGGTTTACATTACATCATTATACATGATCAGGTTCACATTACATCATTACGCATAAACAGGTTCACATTACATCATTACGCATAAACAGGTTCACATTACAACAATATACATGAACAGGTTCACATCACATCATTACACACGAACAGGCTCACATTACATCATTATACATAAACGGGTTCACATTACATCATTACACACAAACAGGTTCACATTACATCATATCATTATACATGTCAGGTTACCATTACATCATTACACATAAACAACAACATGCACAGGTTCACATTACATCATTGCACATGAACATGTTCACATTACATCATTACACACATTACATCATTATACATGATCAGGTTCACATTACATCATTACACACAAACAGGTTCACATTACATCATTACACACAAACAGGTTCACATTACATCATATCATTATACATGTCAGGTTACCCTTACATCATTACACATGAACAACTCTATGAACAGGTTCACATTACGTCATTACACATAAACAACCACATGAACAGGTTCATATTACATCATTACACAAGAACAACCACATGAACAGGTTCACATTAAATCATTATACATGTCAGGTTCACATTGCATCATTACACGAGAACAGGTTCACATTACATCATTATAGATGAGCAGGTTCACATAACATCATTATACATGAACAGGGTCACATTACATCATTACACATAAACAGGTTCAAAATACATCATTATACATGAACAGGGTCACATTACATCATTACACATTAACAGGTTCACATAAACAGGTTCACATTACAACAATATACATGAACAGGTTCACATAACATCATTATACATGAACAGGGTCACATTACATCATTACACATGCACAACTCTATGAACAGCTTCACATTACATCATTACACAAAACAACTCCATGAACTGGTTCACAGTACATGATTACACATGAACAACTTCATGAACAGGATCACATTACATCATTATACATAAACAGGTTCACATCACATCATTACACACGAACAGGTTCACATTACATCATTACACATAACAACTCCATGAACTGGTTCACATTACATGATTACACATGAACAACTCCATGAACAGGATCACATTACATGATTACACATGAACATCTCCATGAACAAGTTCACATTACATTATTACACATGAACAACTCCATGAACAGGTTCACATTACGTCATTACACATGAACAACTCCTTGAACAGGTTCACATTATGTCATTACACATGGACAACTCCATGAACAGGATCACATTACATGATTACACATAAACATCTCCATGAACAACACTTACTGTCAGGTTCACATTACATCACGACACATGAACAACACTTACTGTCAGGTTCACATTACATCACGACACATGAACAACCACATGAACAACACTTACTGTCAGGTTCACATTACATCACGACACATGAACAATCACACGAACAACACTTACTGTCAGGTTCACATTACATCATTACACATGAACATGTTCACATTACATCATTATACATGAACAGGTTCACATTACATCATTACACACGAACAGGTTCACATTACATCATTACACATGAACAGGTTCACATTACATCATTATACATGAACAGGTTCACATTACATCATTATACATGAACAGGTTCACATTACATCATTATACATGAACAGGTTCACATTACATCATTATACATGAACAGGTTCACATTACATCATTATACATGAACAGGTTCACATTACATCATTATACATGAACAGGTTCACATTACATCATTATACATGAACAGGTTCACATTACATCATTATACATGAACAGGTTCACATTACATCATTATACATGAACAGGTTCACATTACATCATTATACATGTCAGGTTCACATTACATCATTACACATGAACAGGTTCACATTACATCATTACACATTAACAGGTTCACATTACATCACGACACATGAACAGGTTCACATTACATCATTATACATGAACAGGTTCAAATTACATCATTATACATGAACAGGTTCACATTACATCATTACACATAAACAACAACATGCACAGGTTCACATTACATCATTACATGAACAGGTTCACATTACATTATTACATATGAACAACTCCATGAACAGGTTCACATTACATCATTACACATGAACAACTCCATGAACAGGTTCATATTACATTATTACATATGAACAACTCCATGAACAGGTTCACATTACATCATACCATATGAACAACTCCATGAACAGGTTCACATTACATCATTACACATGAACAACTCTATGAACAGGTTCACATTACGTCATTACACATGAACAACCACATGAACAGGTTCATATTACATCATTACACATAAACAACTCCATGAACTGGTTCACATTACATGATTACACATGAACAACTCCAAGAACAAGATCACATTACATGATTACACATGAACATCTCCATGAACAACACTTACTGTCAGGTTCACATTACATCACGACACATGAACAACACTTACTGTCAGGTTCACATTACATCACGACACATGAACAGGTTCACATTACGTCATTGCACATGAACAACCACATGAACAGGTTCACATTACATCATTACACATAAACAACTCCTTGAACAGGTTCACATTATGTCATTACACATGAACAACTCCATGAACAGGATCACATTACATCATTACACATGAACATCTCCATGAACAACACTTACTGTCAGGTTCACATTACATCACGACACATGAACAATCACACGAACAACACTTACTGTCAGGTTAATATTACATCATTACACATGAACAACCACATGAACAGGTTCAGATTACATCATTACACATGAACAACTTCATGAACAGGATCACATTACATGATTACGCATGAACATCTCCATGAACAAGTTCACATTACATTATTACACATGAACAACTCCATGAACAGGTTCACATTACGTCATTGCACATGAACAACCACATGAACAGGTTCACATTACATCATTACACATGAACAACTTCATGAACAGGATCACATTACATGATTACACATGAACATCTCCATGAACAAGTTCACATTACATCATTACACGTGAACAACTCCATGGACAGGATCACATTACACCATTACACATGAACAACTCCATGGACAGGATCACATTACATGATTACACATGAACAACTCCATGAACAGGTTCACATTACGTCATTACACATGAACAACTCCATGGACAGGATCACATTACATCATTACACATGAACAACTCCATGAACAGGATCAAATTACATCATTACACATGAACATCTCCATAAACAACACTTAATTACTGTCAGGTTCACATTACATCACGACACATGAACAACACTTAATTACTGTCAGGTTCACATTACATTATTACACATGAACAACTCCATGAACAGGATCAAATTACATCATTACACATGGACATCTCCATAAACAACACTTAATTACTGTCAGGTTCTCATTATATCACGACACATGAACAACACTTAATTACTGTCAGGTTCTCACATTACATCATTACACATGAACGACTCCATGAACAGGATCAAATTACATCGTTACACATGAACATCTCCATAAACAGCACTTAATTACTGTCAGGTTCACATTATATCACGACACCTGAACAACACTTAATTACTGTCAGGTTCTCACATTACATCATTACACATGAACGACTCCATGAACAGGATCAAATTACATCGTTACACATGAACATCTCCATAAACAACTCTTAATTACTGTCAGGTTCACATTAAATCACGACACATGAACAATCACACGAACAACACTTACTGTCAGGTTAATATTACATCATTACACATGAACAACCACATGAACAACCCTTACTGTCAGGTTCACATTACATCACGACACATGAACAACCACATGAACAACACTTACTGCCTGGTTCACAGTAGGCTTGATGTCTGAAGTATAGATACACAGCTACCAGGAAGGACATCAGATTGAAGAGGAAAAGTCCAACCTTATAGTGGAATGACTGCCTCTCCTGTCAAAGACATCAAATAAATGTATGAAACAACAATACAATTCATTTTATGATAATGGTGTTATATGTCATGTGTACTATATTCCACAATGTGAAAATAGCTAGGTTACTTTGTGCATTATACTACCCTAATGCAAGATTAACTTCAGTTTTCTGAACAGATGTATGTTAGATGTTTTCTATATCTACATATATGTATTTAAAATGAAGTTAGTAATTACAGTTGTCTAGACATTTAACAGTGTAAAAATATTGATTCATAAAAACGAAAGAAGGAGACAGCAGCATATAGTATGATAATGATATGTAAGAGATCCTAGGGGAATATTGGAGCCCGCCTAAAGAAGTCACAACATTTAACCAAGAAAAGAGATTATTTGCTTGTCTCTAGTTGTGAAATCAATTTTGTTTTAATCAAATATTTTAAATTTACTGAAAAGAATGTGTAATTGACATCAAAGATTTTGATCTTTAACCAGCATCAACGGCCACTTGGGGATCCAGGACAATCCATACGACATGGCTTCATGTTGTTTTGCAGTGTTTGCTGCCATTAGGGAGATATTAAATCTGACATTTATAATCTTGGTTTTTACCAATGACATGTTAAAGGGCCACTTGGCATCATTCTCAACAATATTACTTTATAATGATATTGTTACATATCACAATAAAACTGATAACGATAATTGTATTTACTGCAATCTCTGTTATTAACTTTATGTAAAAGTCACATGAAAAAAAGAGGATAACATTTTATTACACACATGTAGACATTGGTGATTAAACACATGTAGACATATCATGGTAAGGGCTAAATTGCTATGAGTATCCTAAACTTATGAACCAGTTTATATAAGTCATGTGCATTTTATCTGTTAATATGATTCCATATAATGCTTTGAAGAAAACAAGTAATGTGTTAACTTTTGTAGTATGGTTTAATGTAGCGTAATGTGTTAACTTTTGTAGTATGGTTTTATGTAGCGTAATGTGTTAACTTTTGTAGTACGGTTTTATATAGCGTAATGTGTTAATTTTTGTAGTATGGTTTAATGTAGCGTAATGTGTTAACTTTTGTAGTACGGTTTTATATAGCGTATTGTGTTAATTTTTGTAGTATGGTTTAATGTAGCGTAGTGTGTTAACTTTTGTAGTATGGTTTAATGTAATGTAATGTGTTAACTTTGTAGTATGGGTTAATGTAGCGTAATGTGTTAACTTTTGTAGTATGGTTTAATGTAATGTAATGTGTTAACTTTTGTAGTATGGTTTAATGTAGCGTAATGTGTTAATTTTTGTAGTATGGCTTAATGTAGCGTAATGTGTTAACTTTTGTAGTATGGTTTTATGTAACGTAATGTGTTAACTTTTGTAGTACGGTTTAATGTAGCGTAATGTGTTAACTTTTGTAGCATGGTTTTATGTAACGTAATGTGTTAACTTTTGTAGTATGGTTTTATGTAGGTGATCACGTCGTGTGATGTGTGTACACGCACACAAGTGTCTGATTTTTTTTTTTATTATTGAATCATATAGAGGATTTGTCATATGTTTCTCTTCATGACAGTAAATTAATGACAGATTCCTTTTTTTATATGACTTTTTAACCAAGCCATTCATGTTTAAACTACTGAAATTACTTAAATGTAACATTACAGTATAATTTTTGGAAATTTTGTGTAAAGCTTTTGAAATTAGGTCACACCTCTTGTCTTTGAAATGAGTGAATATATGTATTAGTGTATGGCTTGAACTTGACTTCGTATAACATTGTATTGTGCATAATACATGTAATGTAATATCAATAAGCATTATTGATTATGATAATAAAAGAATTGAATTGAGCTACAACATAATTTCTTAGCCTCTATCATTGCAAGCTGATCAACATTTTAAATTTGCATCCAAATCATACAGGCAGAATTGAGAAGAAATTAAATACATAACCTGGATTCTTGAAATGGACCTTTTTATTGAAGTCATTTTGTCATATATTTCAGATGCATGAACTAATTCCCAACTGTAATAGGAGCAGAAAAATGCACTGCCAGACCAAGATTTGCACCCAGGACCCCCAAAACTCAAGATGGACAGTGTACCAATTGAGCTACTTGGTCAATGGCGGACCCCCAAAACTCAAGATGGACAGCTGTATACCAATTGAGCTACGTATATTTGGTCAATGGTGAACAACCCAGCCTAGTTCCTCTATGTCACTCAAGCTCCCTCCTTTTTGTAATTATTTGCCCGGGAAGACCGCACTATTTACAACTCAGGTTTGGGAATCACCTTGCCAAGCATTCACCAAGTGCTTGAAACAAACGTAAGTCAGAGGCACGGAATGTAAAAGAGCAGAAATATGTATGCCCATGCCGTGATTTGAACCCTGGACCCTCCAAATTCAAAAGGGACGCTCGACCAATTTGCTACCTGGTTGGCAGCGAACAACCCAGTCTAGTTCCTCTACTGTTATTTTTGCTTTTTACTTTGCTATCACCTTGTGTTATTATCCCCGACTGCTCAACTCCTTAATAATTATACTATCCATACATCTAGGAAGTAATCACACCACTGTAATACACCTACTTTGTGCTATCAAAATGCCTTGAGACACATCATATAGCTGGCCGCATCCTTTGAGTATATAGCAGTGTTGGCTGGATGTCAGATAATTAGAGATTATAATTAACAGCAGTATCATTAAGTACTTGCATAATTACCCTATTGTAGTTTAATAGATAACCATACCTGGTGGTATTTGTTGAAAACATTCATAATGGTGAAATAAATAAAATATAATTGACAACAGTGACTGGAGTGTAAAAACTCAGAGGAGGCTACACTGAGATCTGAATTCTGGACTTCAGATTGTTTACTGTTGCTCTGATTGACTGAGCTACAATGTACCTGGTCAGCATTTAGTGTTCTGAACGGTGCTAGTTAAGTAGTTATATCAATTAAGGGTAAGTTACTGCATATAAAAGAAAAATACAGAGAGCAGTGAGATAAAGACATTGAAAGCTTGAACTGTTCTGTCTTCCCACCTATTCAATACATGAAGACATTGAAAGCTTGAACTGTTCTGTCTTCCCACCTGATCAATACACGAAGACATTGAAAGCTTGAACTGTTCTGTCTTCCCTCCTATTCAATACATGAAGACATTGAAAGCTTGAACTGTTCTGCCTTTCCACCTGATCTATACACGAAGACATTGAAAGCTTGAACTGTTCTGCCTTTCCACCTGATCAATACACGAAGACATTGAAAGCTTGAACTGTTCTGTCTTACCACCTGATCAATACATGAAGACATTGAAAGCTTGAACTGTTCTGTCTTCCCACCTGATCAATACACGAAGACACTGAAAGCTTGAACTGTTCTGTCTTCCCACCTGATCAATACACGAAGACATTGAACATCAAATTTGTCCAATACCATGCATTCCTCGAACTACTGATCCAGACCCAACCTGTTTAATTTAACGAAACAAAAGTGATCTTGCACAACTAGGTCCCAAGGGGAATCTTTGTACATATAAAGTAGATTTGTTTTGAACTTTCTGATAGTGATATTAAGATTAACCATAAAATAAATGGTAAGTAAAATTAGTAAAATATTGATATATAAATTTTTAGATGATGAGTCAGGTAGGGTAGATAATGTGTTTTAGTGAAATAATGAGTATTATGTGTTTTAGTGAAATAATGAATGTGTTTTAGTGAAATAATGACTGTGTTTTAGTGAAATAATGAATGTGTTTTAATGAAAGAATGACAGTTTTTTGTGAAATAATGACGGTGTTTGAGTGAAATAATGAATGTGTTTGAGTGAAATAATGAATATATTTTAGTGAAATAGTGAATGTGTTTTAGTGAAATAATGAATGTGTTTGAGTGAAATAATGAATGTGTTTTAGTGCATACCGAGTTAGTCATCTCCTTGTTATTAGCTGTGCGGCCCCAGTGGAACAGTACACACGTCAACAGCATGTGAAACAGGGAACACACCATAAAAGCTATAAATAGGTATTCGTGCATATCTGAAACAGTGCAGTAGTGAGAATTCATAAATGTACCATCAAAAATTTGCTAGATACAACTCTAACTTTTATTGTAAGCAAAAGAAAATAGAAAATAAAGTTGAGTGCTTAATATTAGATAATAATTTTCAATAAAATCTCCTTTTTAAGTATCCCTGTTCTATTGCATTGTTTTTTTTCGTATATATATACAATAACCTCCCCTTAACTTCTCTTTGGATGTAACTGTAGCACAGTTGGGCCAGGACCCTTCTGTTGACCAGCTAGCTCAATTGGCTAAGTAGTATAACAATCTGAAGTTTAGAGTTCAGATCCTGATCTGGTCCACTGAACAGTTCATAAGTGTTATGTTTATTTCATCTTTTTATTTTTCATAAAAATTCTGCAAGGTATATCTTTCTAAAAATGATTTATCAAAGCTATAGCCTTGCTGGCAAAATCAGTTTCAACTGTATATACTGTAGACAGAGTGCAGTGTTACAGGGACCCTTAATAAGATCATCATTTTTGTTAACTTGGTTTAATTCATTAATGCAACTGATACACATTACATATTTCAACATTACTCATCATGATTTAAGTTTATCACGAGAACAGAACTAAAGTGCAAATGTTCTAACATGTATATGCTATTAGGTAAGCTTGCTCAGCCTTCCAGACTACTGCATATCAGGATTTTACCCAAATTTAGACAATATCAAGTTTACCTATATCCATAATTCAACTGGTCTTGCTGACATGTACATTTGCAATAATTAGTCAAACAATACTAGCAGGGACATAAAATTCACAAGCCACCATGTCAGCTAGTGGAATTGTACGCCCTTTATCAGATTGCAAAAATGTTCCATATCATTCCCTGTAACAAGCATGATGACTTGAAATAAATATATTTTGTTAAATAATTAGAAAAAACTGTATTATAACAAAAAAAAACCCCACCTAAATATATTCCCATTCCTATCACAATAGTCACTAAGTGAGCAGAGGGCTGACGGAAGGAGAGTGGGCATGTCAGACGGTAGAGGCACGGTAGTCTAGTGGTAGGACGCCAGGCTCGTGATCATGACCGAAGGGTTGTGGGTTCGAGCCACGTCACAGCACTGTGTTGTATCTTTGAGCAAGATACTTTACGCCGCTTCTTCCAGTCTACTCAGCTGTAAATGAGTACGAGGTTAGGCAGTGCTAGAATTGTAGAATGATAGCTGTGAGCGCCGAAATGGCAGCACCGGCTGTATGCTCCCCAGGGAGTTGAGGAAGATATTGGCTGGTTGCGAAGGCCTTATAACCACGGATAATAATTTGTGAACCGTTTTGAGACGACCTACAAACTAGGTTGTGATAAAGCGGTATATAAGAATCTCGTTATTATTATTATTAGAATAGCGTTCTCACTCACCTCAGCATATTTTATTCTGTGTGAGATATTCCAACTACTCGACTGACAACCAGATCCTGCCATCTTAATTGTACATACATCTTTTGACTTTTCATGCCTCTAAAACCACAAATTGAACCGCAAGTATCAATTTCCAACAAAATGTGAACGATCATCTTGCTCTTGGATAAACTCTGTGAATACTCGAACCTCAGCATCAGAGAGTTCCGTTACCATTGTTTACATCCTGTATGGGTAACCTGTACTTTCCCCTTTGATCTGTCATCGTCCTAGGTGGACTCTTCGTCACATTGAAGGTAAACCCAATCCATGAAAACAACACCCTGCCACCAACCTTTCTGATCAACAGTTCATTGTGTAATTTTGAGAATTCAGCACATCTTTTTGCAACCAATAGGCTGAGGAAACGATGTTTCCCATAACTCCAACCATCTAAGAAATGTGCTAAGTCTTACCTACTGTACATCACAGTCCTAGTCATCCGCCAATCTGCCGATTGTGAACTTAACCCTGGATCCCCAAATATACCTGCCTACTTTGTGAGCGTGCAGTAAAATCAGGTCAACGTGCCGTTGCATGTGATGACTGTGAAGGCTGGTATCATTCCTCCTGTATGGGTATGTACACTCCAGTATACATGTGATGACTGTGAGGCTGGTATCATTTGTCCTGTATGAGTATGAACACTCCAGTATACATGTGATGACTGTGAAGGCTGGTATCATTCGTCCTGTATGGGTATGAACACTCCAGTATACATGTGATGACGGTGAAGGCTGGTATCATTCGTCCTGTATGGGTATGAACACTCCAGTATACATGTGATGACTGTGAAGGCTGGTATCATTCGTCCTGTATGGGTATGAACACTCCAGTATACATGTGATGACTGTGAAGGCTGGTATCATTCGTCCTGTATGGGTATGAACACTCCAGTATACATGTGATGACTGTGAAGGCTGGTATCATTCGTCCTGTATGGGTATGAACACTCCAGTATACATGTGATGACTGTGAAGGCTGGTATCATTCGTCCTGTATGGGTATGAACACTCCAGTATACATGTGATGACTGTGAAGGCTGGTATCATTCGTCCTGTATGGGTATGAACACTCCAGTATACATGTGATGACTGTGAAGGCTGGTATCATTCGTCCTGTATGGGTATGAACACTCCAGTATACATGTGATGACTGTGAAGGCTGGTATCATTCGTCCTGTATGGGTATGAACACTCCAGTATACATGTGATGACTGTGAAGGCTGGTATCATTCGTCCTGTATGGGTATGAACACTCCAGTATACATGTGATGACTGTGAAGGCTGGTATCATTCGTCCTGTATGGGTATGAACACTCCAGTATACATGTGATGACTGTGAAGGCTGGTATCATTCGTCCTGTATGGGTATGAACACTCCAGTATACATGTGATGACTGTGAAGGCTGGTATCATTCGTCCTGTATGGGTATGAACACTCCAGTATACATGTGATGACTGTGAAGGCTGGTATCATTCGTCCTGTATGGGTATGAACACTCCAGTATACATGTGATGACTGTGAAGGCTGGTATCATTCGTCCTGTATGGGTATGAACACTCCAGTATACATGTGATGACTGTGAAGGCTGGTATCATTCGTCCTGTATGGGTATGAACACTCCAGTATACATGTGATGACTGTGAAGGCTGGTATCATTCGTCCTGTATGGGTATGAACACTCCAGTATACATGTGATGACTGTGAAGGCTGGTATCATTCGTCCTGTATGGGTATGAACACTCCAGTATACATGTGATGACTGTGAAGTCTGGTATCATTCGTCCTGTATGGGTATGAACACTCCAGTATACATGTGATGACTGTGAAGTCTGGTATCATTCGTCCTGTATGGGTATGAACACTCCAGTATACATGTGATGACTGTGAAGTCTGGTATCATTCGTCCTGTATGGGTATGAACACTCCAGTATACATGTGATGACTGTGAAGTCTGGTATCATTCGTCCTGTATGGGTATGAACACTCCAGTATACATGTGATGACTGTGAAGGCTGGTATCATTCGTCCTGTATGGGTATGAACACTCCAGTATACATGTGATGACTGTGAAGGCTGGTATCATTCGTCCTGTATGGGTATGAACACTCCAGTATACATGTGATGACTGTGAAGGCTGGTATCATTCGTCCTGTATGGGTATGAACACTCCAGTATACATGTGATGACTGTGAAGGCTGGTATCATTCGTCCTGTATGGGTATGAACACTCCAGTATACATGTGATGACTGTGAAGGCTGGTATCATTCGTCCTGTATGGGTATGAACACTCCAGTATACATGTGATGACTGTGAAGGCTGGTATCATTCGTCCTGTATGGGTATGAACACTCCAGTATACATGTGATGACTGTGAAGGCTGGTATCATTCGTCCTGTATGGGTATGAACACTCCAGTATACATGTGATGACTGTGAAGGCTGGTATCATTCGTCCTGTATGGGTATGAACACTCCAGTATACATGTGATGACTGTGAAGGCTGGTATCATTCGTCCTGTATGGGTATGAACACTCCAGTATACATGTGATGACTGTGAAGTCTGGTATCATTCGTCCTGTATGGGTATGAACACTCCAGTATACATGTGATGACTGTGAAGGCTGGTATCATTCGTCCTGTATGGGTATGAACACTCCAGTATACATGTGATGACGGTGAAGGCTGGTATCATTCCTCCTGTATGGGTATAAACACTCCAGTAAACATGTGATGACTGGCTGGTTGCGAAGGCCTTATAACCACGGATAATAATTTGTGAACCGTTTTGAGAATGACTGTGAGGCTGGTATCATTCGTCCTGTATGGGTACGAACACTCCAGTATACATGTGAAGACGGTGAAATCTGGTATCATTCTGAGGCTGGGAGTATAAACACTCCAGTATACATGTGATGACTGTGAAGGCTGGTATCATTCGTCCTGTATGGGCCTGTATGGGTATGAACACTCCAGTATACATGTGATGACTGTGAGGCTTGGATCATTCGTCCTGTATGGGGACGAACACTCCAGTATACATGTGATGACTGTGAAAGCTGGTATCATTCGTCCTGTATGGGTAGAAAGGTGACAAGTCCAAGCCTAGTAACTACCGCCCCATCTCCCTGACATCGATTTGCAGCAAGCTACTGGAACACATAGTTCACACCAGTGTGATCAACCACTTACAGAGCCATGGTTTGTTGTCTGTCTACCAACATGGATTCAGGAAGGGCGGCTCATATGTGTGAAAGTCAACTTCTCATCTCTGTAGACGATATTACCAGGAGCCTAAACAAAGGAGAACAAGTTGACAGTGCTACTCGATTTTTCGAATGCGTTCAAAAAAGTACTCCACTAGAGGCTGCTGGGCAAGCTCCACCACTACGGGATACGAGGGAACACCGTCTCATGGGTAGAGAGCTTCTTGACAGGCAAATCCCAGAAGGTTAGTTCTTGAAGGTCAACAGTCGGATACCTCACCAGTCACATCAGGTTTGCCCCAGGGAACAGTCCTAGGACCGCTCCTTTCCTGGTATACATTAATGACCTGCCTTCCTGTGTAACTTCTACACCCCGACTGTTTGCCGACGACTGCTTTCTTTCAGTGTTCTCCCCAGGCTGTTTTAGCGTAACGGTACTGTTACGCATAAATTTTGAGCCGCTACGCATCACCATTTTACTGTTACGCATGCATTTGACTGCTACTCATTGAGAGGTATATCACATCACAAATACGACTGGAACCTCAAGTTCTCACAAATTGATAACCTCTTCTCCCCTTTCCAATTAGACTAGCTTTTTATTGTCCCCCATACGATCGATACCCTGATCAACGAACTCTGCACTGCAGGTAGTCCAAATTATTTTGATGTTTTATTGACTTTTTTTATATCGGTTTGGCGTCGATTAATCAATGACAGACCGATATAAAAAAAGTTGATAAATCGTCAGAATAATTCTGACTACCCTGCGGGTAGATTTATTTGTGGGGATGTGAACTAGGCCTACCTATAGGTGTGAAACGTGAACAATAGACCACAATTACCAGTGTGTAATTCGTCTAATTATAATAAGTGATGTATGTTTATTATCAAGGCTTCAAGCTACGTTTAGGTGAATGACAATTACACCGTAATAAGAGATACAAACACAGAAGTACAGACAGTAGCTTGTATTAAGGAACAAATGTCAAACGTCTGCTGACCTACCTTTGCTGCATTGTTTTGGCCATCAAATGTTAATGCTTGAAATAAGTAAGCTTCGTGAGAAACTTTCATTTATCAACAAATGAGTATCTAAACAACTTTTAGAAAACTTGTAATATTTTTTGCCACAGTAAGAGAGATCGTAAGTGAGCAGACTGCATGTGGCAGCCATGTTGTTTTGATAACCTTAATAATCTTATGTACACGTAGTCCGTGATGCAATGGCTTTTGAAACATGGATGAGGAGTGTTAATCATTTTGGCGCCAAAAATTATAAATAGCAGATGGTTTTCCCAATTTGACAGAGTACAATAATATATTACTTTTAGTGGATAATTACAATAATTTAATTTGCTAACTGTGTCACAACTTACAGGTTTATATTGAAAAAAGCATTGTTCTGATAAAATTTTGACTTTTTGTTTACTTAATGAGTTAATTTCATAACAAAGGGATTTTTTAAAAGTAACTTATAAATATAAATCATTCATTTATTTCTATGATGATATTTTTGGAAGAAAAATGCCGAAATATATTTGCTAAAATATTCCATTTTCTTGAGTCCAACTGTTTTATTTGCAATAATGTATAGTTATTATAAAAAAAATAACGATCAAGAAGAAATAAAAAGGGTAAGAAAATGAGCATAATGCAATGCAAAGATTATTAAATAATGCTATATATTTAAAATTAACTACATCAATCACAACTCTTGTATTGAGTATTCTTTCTCAAAGTGGCGTAGCGCATGATAGATGGGTTGTGACGCGGAAATGGTTGGCAGCACCCTGCTGCGTTGGAAGGGTTTAAAACAGTAGATACCATAGTGCATCAAAACATTCCTGGGGAGAACACTGCCTTTATAGGGCAATCATGTCATCTAGAGATGCAGCTGAAGAGCTTGACAGACTCCAGAAGTGGGAGGATGACTGGTTGATAAGTTTTAACACGGACAAGTGTATGTGAGGTCATCTCGATCACCAACAAGAGGAACCCACTGAAGTAGACCTACACCATCCACGGTCAGGCTTTTGGGAATGTTTCCTCAGCTAAATACCTTGGCATCACCATCCAGCATAATCTCTCAGGAACAAGCATATTGACACCATATGCAAGGAGGCCAATTTCACCAACGCCTTCATCAAGCGCAATTTGATGAAGTCTCCCACCGATGTGAAGGCAACCTGCTTCAACACACTGCTGCGACCAATTGCTGAATATGTATCAATTGTATGGAACCCATATACCCAAGTCAACATCGACAAGCTGGAGAGGAAACAGCGCAGGGCTGCTCCTCATGGTTGGGTGACTTCGACTGGTACAGTAACATTACTACCATGCTCCAAGTCCTCAGATGATGCTCCAAGTCCTCAGATGATGCTCCAAGTCCTCAGATGGTGCTCCAAGTCCTCAGATGGTGCTCCCTTCAGGAGCGAAGGATTCAGGCCCAGCAAATCATGCTGTTTAAGATCATTCGTGCGTTTTTACCGCCTGACATGAACCAGTGCGAGAATACCTTTAAGGGCTTGCACTTTAACTGGAAGAAGAAGATGTGCATATACCCCTGCAAATTGGTCAATTGAGATTTTTGTCCCTTTAACTCTAGCCTGAGGAGCTCCAAAATCCTAACAGATACAGTACGAGTGTAGTACTTGATGTTAACATAATTTGGTGTGAACAGGAAATATATATGCCGAGGATGTCATGAAATATCTTGTGCACAAGCTTTTTACTACAGACGGATGCAATGACAAAGCATTTTACTGTAAATCAAACTCTAAACCAACCTTGGAATGCAAGTCAACATTTCTAGATAAAAGCCTGAATTTTGTAACATAATTCACTTTTACAATTAGAAAAATCTCATTGCATCACACTTACCTGGATTTTCTGTAGAAGATATATAAGTTAACCCAACTAGAGCTAATATTTCTGATACATGAAGGAAACTGGCAAAAGCTGCAAGATTTTTGTAGATTCTGTGCTTTGTTCCGACATGGACTTGTGTATGGAAATTGTAGTAGGATATTGCAAACATCAGGCGAGGTGAACAATGGAGAGCCACACATATCCTCCAAACATACCTCTGGGGTGTGTACCCTCCTATAGCTGACGAGATGGAGGGCAGGTAATTAGCTACCTGGAAAATAAACCATTTAAATATTGCTGAGTTCTTCAAACAAATTATCACATTCAGAATATATTAAGAAAACATGTAACGGTATATGTAGATATAGTCATATTTTCCGGTGTTTTACCTACTGGAGCACCGGAAAATATGTCTATATCTACTGTACTTCTATATATTAGCTAACGTTCCTCAACTAAAAAATGTGCCGTTTTTGGCATATGTTTTATACCTTGCAGTGGGTGGCAGTTGAAGACTTGAAATCATACAGAATAGACCATGATACACAAAAAAGAAATCCAAACAATGGTAAAAGCACGGCAGTTTTAGCTACATAAACAAACGGTACTTGGAAAATCGTATTCGATGTTGGGCCCGCCATCTTTCAGAAGTTGACGGAAGTGGATCAACGTCAGATGCTTACGTTGTATATCGTTTCCATCATTACCTTTAGGAAAAACGCACAGCCGACCGAGAAGTGAATCTTAACGGCCTTGACCGACGGATTTGTAAACATGAAAAATGGCGACAGCGATGAAAGACGGATATGATTTTGTGTCATTCACTGCAGTGAAATCACAATGACGGAACCAGAGCTTTCACGCGAAGTAGAACTGTTTTATTCTGTATGAATTTCTTTCGATGTTAGGCACTGAATGATTTTCAAAGTCCTTGATGGCTTCGATTTGTTACGTCAACATAAAGTAACAATGAAACTGAACTAAATTAAAAATGTCTTCGATACATTTTTAGCAACGAAATAAATATCGATGACTTCAGGAATTAAGTAAAATGCAACAAAACTACAGCTATACAAACTACAATGTCAGGTAGACTAAATGCACAAGATAAGAAGGACTTGGAGAAATTTACAAAGTTTCTCATCTTTAAAAGTTTACAAGTTATTGTTCAGTCGAGACTAGGAGAGAAAATAAGAACGAAGTCGAAACCAATTTCTTCAGGAACAGACTGGGTAAGTTCAACTGATACTGTATATTAATTGTATATGTAAAGAAGAAAGAAACACGGTGAAACGCTTTGTTTCATTATTTTTTCAAAGGCTGATGTGGTCAAAACTGATTATCTAATTCCGTAATAGTAGACAATAGACTTCTTGTTCCAATGTTCAAGCTGGTTTAAGGAAAGGCTACTCTACAACTGAAAATATATTTATCCTTCATGCTTTAATATCTATATACGTTTCAAAAAGTAATTTTGGGGTTTGAAAATACCAATATGATTGAGAAATTACGTGTACAGTTTTGTTAAAGAATTTTAAACATACGTAGCTCCACAGCAAATATAATGGTATATGGTGAAACGGGTAGGTACTCGCTGGATATTGAAATTAAATCTAGAATGATAATGTTTTGGTATAAACTAATTACAGGTGAAAATAAATTGTCTAGTATAATGTACAAGCTTATGCTGAATTTACATAAAAATGATTTCGCTGATTTTAAATGGATTTCATATATCAAGAATCTATTCAATTGCACGGGACTAAGTTTATGTTTAAAATTAGATATTGTACACGGAATTAGATAAAGTCCGTGGTTATGCATTCATATAACTTGATGTTTTTAAAGACTTAAATTTGTTTAAATAAATTTGACGAGTATTTAGTAAGAGTAGATTTACTTTTCACGACCATGTATCTTTAGTATATATTGGAACAAATCTATATTTATACATATTATATCGATAGTTGTTATAAATAAAAAAAAATCCGTAGAATGTTCATGTACGTCAATACGTTTATAACGTTCATTGCATAATAAAATTATTTAAACATTTGTTCTAATTTAGTTGACTACAAGTAATTTTGGGGGAAATCCTCTATTTGCCAATTCTATTCAAAATTTATCTCCGTTTTCGTCGTCATTGCATATCCAATATATATATATATATATATATAGTTAAGTCAAGTCAAGTCAATTTTGTTTATTATAGTGTCATATATCACAATTACATCGTACAAGTATATAGTTACACAGTATAAACACATATAGTTACATAATTTATAATATCATAATTTTGTTAAGAACAGCTATTATACATAATACATTAATAAATTAAAACAAACTATCACATGTGCCAATCCAGAGAGCAGGTGATTGGGACAGCCCCTACCTAACAAACTCCTGGATTTTGTCCTTACATATTACATACTATAATAGTTAAAAGGTTTCTTTTATATTTACTGCCTTAAAACATGATGTCTTTAAAAAAACAATAACAATGGTGATAAATAAAATGAATAATTTCCTAGTTCTACATTGTAGTGAAATTTAGATTTCCAAGGGTTGGGGAGCCCCCTTCCAGCGAGGTCTGCTAAATTCACACTAACTAGTAGCTAATTATATTTAAACGGAAGATTATTTTCATAAAAAAATGTTTCTGATTGACACCTGGTATCATATTTAACAAATGCATTAAATAGAAAATGTAATTGTATATGATGTTCAGCCTAAAATGGCTTACAAGACACTGTTTAAAATTATAACTAATCACATAGACTACTACGTCTTCTGTACATATTATATAAGTGGTTTGCAAGTGGAATTTGTAATTCCTCGGAAGACATTATAAAATTAAATTATAATATATATATTTACCTGTAACTGTGATTTAGATCACGGACTTAGATGTTAAATAAAATTGCAACATCACAGTATCTACCATGTATCTATAGAGATCACATTTACTTGAGATGGCCAACGAGTAGAATAAAGTATATATGTATACAGTATCTCTGGGAGTCGAATCAAGTTTTCATGTCATTTAGTATTTTGCTTTCGGATGATCAAAGACGTATATATTACGTAATGTAATATATACGTCTCTGGATTGATGTATAAGAAGCGTAACGTAATTCCTTTTATTAA